ATGTACGCTCACAGGAAACACGGTCTGTACACTTAGGACTCGAGAGCGAAAGTCTCGTATTGGCGAAAAGAATATCTGCTGCTTCAATAACATCTGCTGAAGACAACAGCAACGGCTCCCAACTCCACTACGCACCCTCCACATCCTCCTCGCACCACGCCAACCAACGCGCACCAGCGAACGGTTCCACGTACTCGCCGCGCCCTAGCGGAATCCCCCGACCCAGTCTTGGAGGCGGTCGGCCCTCGATAACCGACGCCCGACCCCCTTCCCCAGCGAACGCCCGCGCCGTCAACGGTGCGCCCTCAAAACAGTCGTCCACGCGATCACGGACGCTCTCGCAGCCCAAACTGATAGATCGCGACTTTGCAGCGGCCGCGGCAGCCCGCAAGACGCCCCCCATGCCCGCCGCAGACCTGCGATCCGCGTCGCCCATCACGTCCGGGCGCGCGAACGATATCAAGCCGACGCGGATCCCTGTCGCGCGCACGCGCACGGGCAGCACGTCCAGCTACGGCCAGGCTCAGGGGCAGCGCAGCGAGAGCCGTGCGAACGGCCAGTATGCAACGAACGCGGCCGACGCCTCGCCCGACCTCAACGCGCTCACCGAGTACGACGAGCCCACGCCAAGGCCACAGCAGCAGCAGTTCCCTACCGTCGCGTACGGCCGCGAGAACCTCGTCGACGACTTCCCGTCGCGTCCGTCGACCGACTCCGAGGAGCGCCCTTTCGAGCACTGGTACCGCGGGGAGGTGTCGAGGAATGGAGGCGTGGGCGAGCTGCGTGTCGGGCGGCGGATGGAGATGTTGGAGATTGCGAACTATGGGCACAACGCGAGGTCACGCGCGGCGATGGTCAACGCGGCCACGGACTGGGCGGCGGGTGGGAGCAAGCGGAGCTCGATGAGGCGCAGGGCGGGGAGTATTGGGCCGGGGACGCGGGAGAGCTTCTACATGGACGATGAGATGGCTCGTGGTGAGCGGGTGCTGGACGAGGCGCCTCCGAGCGACGTCGACGGCGGGGAGGACACAGACGGGGAGGCGTTTCCGTCATATGCTGACCAGTACAGTCTACCGCCACGCTCTGCGTCTGCACTGGGTATTGGCGACAACCGGAGCCTCACTCCGAGCAGTCACATGCGTGAGCGCTCAACGTCGCGCACGACACAGAAGGAACTCCCACCATCCCGCATACCGACGCCCTCTGCTTCACGACAGATCTCCGAACCGCCACGAACGCCCACGCCCACCGCCGCCCTCTCCGTGTCCACATCGTCCGTGCGCAGTCCCGCTACCTCGTCGAAAACAACGCGCTCGCCAGCCAGCACGAACAGCAACCAAGTTCCCCGCTCGCAGTCTTCACCGAATACGCTTACGCCGGCGAACAAGCGGCGTGCCAAGAGTCCGGCAGAGACGAGTGCCTCGGCGAAGAAAGCGAAGGCACGGACACCTCCCGTGTCACAGGTTCGCCAGCAAGAGAACAGGAGATCAATTGCTGAGTATCCGGATCCAGGAGATGGAGATATGTCGAATGCGATACCAACATGGACTCAGCCTGTTCCACCCGGAGGCAACTGGGACGATGTATGTGCCTCCCTCCTCAACATCTCCCGCCCTATTGACCGCGGTCTCTCTAGGTTGTCCTCCCTGTTGTAGCACGCAAGAAGGGTCTCGACGAGCACTATACCAAAGCTGATGGCAGTCCGAAGCCGAGGCAGAACCGAAATTCTGTGGCTCCCGTAAGTTATTTCTCCCTGATATCGACATGCTCAGATTCCATCTCCCTTGCAGGCACCTGGGACTTTTGGCTACGACTATAGCAAGTATCGACCTGGTCAGCACCAGGACATCCCTATGGATGAATTCGGGCGTCCCGACCAGAGTGTCATTGACGAAGTCGAGTATCAAAACTCCACGAATACGCACCAGCGCGCTGGACGGCCAGAGGACCCTCAAGACCGTATGCCAATCCGGCCTGCTGGCCCGCCCTCGCCACCGCCATTCTCGAACTATCTTCCAAAAAGATACGACGAAGGCGGCCTCACAGTCTCCGAGAGCCAGCTGGCGATGGAGCACGAGCTTGCACAGAAGCAACAACAGATGGAAGACGAGGCGACCGGCGCAGGATGCTGTAAATGCGTTATCATGTGATCTTTGTGGCATATCCGGATGGGTGTCGTTTTCTTGTCTTTTCCTGCCTCTTTTCCTGTTTTCCTCTATCTCTCGATCGCCGCCTGCGCCTACGCCTCTGCCTCTGCCTCTCTCTCCCTCTGCGTCTCTTTCTCGGGCTTATATTCCCCTCCGTTCGTGTATCATCATGATGTCCTTCGTCCACGTCGCTCGTTTCGGTCAGGTCGCACCCGCCTTCTTCCTCACGGCTTCTCATTTCCATTCAACATACCCCCACCCCCCACCCTCCCTTTCGCAGGAATACCATTCATATTCCCCTTGCACCTTCATCCTCTTCTCCCCACGCGCACCACGTCTTCTCTTCGCACCCGTGGCTCTGTACCCGTCCCCATTTCTCCTTCCTCGCGCCTGCGCCTGCGCCATTACCTCCTTCAACATTCAATGCCAATGACGATTTCAAGCATACCACATTCCCATTCCCATTCTCATATCCCGTTACCCCCGCCCTTACCCCCGCCGTTACCGTTACCCTCCGCATACCCTACTATTCGCCCTATATGAATGATACACTCCTGTCGATCGAATAATTCACTGTTTCATTTGTCGCATTTCGGTTCTTGACTCCCGAGCCGTGGTTCATGATTCCTGATTCCTGTGCATAGCCGTTGTACTTTGGATTTTATGCGATTCAGTTCAGAACCCCTGGATCGTGAGTTTGAGTTGAAGGGAAGTTTGGGCGACTTTTCGACGGTCACGCAGAGGATGTCCATCGGATTGCTCGAGCAGCCTATGTTAGCCTAAGCACGGTGCAATGCATGGGAATTCGATGGGCTCTGAATCGTACGCTATCATTTCGAATCACAATGAACATGATCATTGGAAGCGTAGATATACAAGCTGTCACTGTCCCGGGTCGGACGACTGTACAGTGGCCGGTGTCAGGTCAGCTTGGACTTTCCCTTTATCTACCACTACCACAGCTCTGCCCAAAGAAAACCGTTATTCATTCTGGAGAGCCGGATCAGTGTTACCATGTTTGTGCAGACGGCGAGCGTCGGTACTCACCCATCATCGTTAGCGATGCGACTGTGTCATATGTGACCCCCACAACGAACCGGGCATCCCTGGATATTGGCTCGGAGCAGTCTCACCCTGTTGCAGCCCTGTGCGGATATGTCTTAAATTTCCCCGTTGGCGCTGCAGCTCCGTCTCCATCTCCAGAGACCTGGCGGTCATGTTTGCTATTTTATCTCGCGTGGCTTCCGTTTCTACCATGAGGTAGTCTCGCTGGCCGACCAAGGTATCCCGCTCTTTGGCCTGAGAAACTGACTGAGTACCGCCACGGCCAGGGATCACCTTCGTACTCACCCATTGTGCTCTCTGAACTGACAGCATGCCTTCTGCTTGATCCACCTGGCTTTTGAGAGTCGAGCGCCTCTGTTGCAATGCACGGATTGTCTGCTCATCTCTATCAAAACGCTGTAGCGCTTTATAGAGCATAGATCAGTGATTGTCCTGATGCATAGAGTGACACCGTACCTCCTGCTAGGGCTGTCCCAGTATTGTACTCTTCTCCGTATTCCAGTGGAGGGAGTCTGCCCTTGATTTCCGCAAGAGAATTCCGATCCTTGGCACGTCGGTTCGCAGCACTCTTCGCGATCCGCACCTTCTGTTCTGCGCTCCTGGGTGCCCGTCCGCCGGTACGAGGCTGGCTCATGCTTTTCTGGATTTTGGGGCTGTCAGCGTGTGCGTCAGATCGCTTAGATCTCCGGCGCCTCGAAGTTGTTGACGCTGGCACTTCTGGTGCAAAGCGCGGCAAGTGTGCTGCAGGGGTTCGCTCCATGTGTGAATCCTTGTACACACTCGGCACGAAAGAATGAGGAAAACTCGAGACACGAGGAGTCGAGTTCTGAGCCGCTGCCGATGTCTGGTGGAGTTAGATGTAGACGTTAGTTGACGGCGGTAAGCTAGATAACCTCCCACCGCTTCTTTTGAAATTTCAGAACGGGTATACATTCATTGGGAGGAGAATGTGCTTACAGCTGACTATTATACACAGTCGTATTGGAGGGCGTCTGCGTCCCGTATACAGAAGGGCACTGAGACGGCTGCACTAAGCGAGGATCTGGTATTGGAAATTTGTTGCTTTGCTGCTGACTCGTATCCAGTTGCGGAAACAAAGCAGATCTGGAAGTGATTGTAGCAGAGTAAGAAGGCGTACAGAGATTAGGTCTCTGAGATTTCTATTGTCGAGATAAAACAAAGTCGTGAGTTTGGAGTGTCAAGTTTTCAAAATCTGGATACTTACCTTGGCGAGAGATAGGACGATGTGGAACACTGATACTTGCAGCGATGTCTAGTAGAGCCATACCTTTATATGCCAAACTGTGATACTACGTTGGGAACAAGGCAGCTCAGTTGATCCTGTAGTATAAGGCGAGCCAAATGGCGTACTGAGCGCCAAAGTCAAACTAACGCCAGTTCAGGGACGCCGACGACGATTTCCTCAGGTTTGCAACATAATTCTGTGGTACTCAGTACAGTGTTCATTCTCAGTAGCTACTCTCCTTGGGGTTCTCTTACCGGCATCACGGATATCGACATGGTCTTGAGGTGATTCTGAAAAGACTAGCATGCCCTGCTCGAAGACGAGGCTCTTGTTAGCGGACCCAGCTCGTAGCTCAAAAGATAGCGCACCTTCAACCGTTGTGCGTCGCTTCCCGTAATCCGGTGACCGAGTAGTTTCTAGACAGGAGTGTGCAATGACAAGTCCAGGAAATGAAGTTCCTGCGCGATTCTACGATGTATCTGCCAGTACAATCCTCGATACTGGATGCGCATACTAGGTGTAACAAGAAGGGTGAAAGAATAGGGCACTTAGCTCAGTGGTAGAGCGCGCGCTTCGCACGTTGCGGACTTGCGCGAGGCCGGGAGTTCAATCCTCCCAGTGTCCATACCCAGTTGTCTTGTTTTGTTCCGACCGCACCACGCGCGCTATAAGCTACCGTGTAGAAATCAAGTGGTTGATAGAGTGATATATAATATGATATAGTAGCTACATGATAAAATGCCTGCCCAAAAAAAGGAAAGCTGCCGCATATCAGGCGACCTCGGGCTCTCGGCCATGTTGTCCCAGAAAAGAAACAATAGCCGCGCGTCCACCGGCCCTACACTCAAATTGTTCTTCTTGTCTTCAATCATCATCCAAGGCGATCAACTGGCTTTCGTTTGACTGGCTTTCGACAGGAGACACTGAATGCCGCAACATCGAGAGTCTCGAATTGGACATACAGTCTTTCACACGTCCTTGATCCACGCGATTGAAGTTGCCCCTCCTAACACGCAGATCCAATTAAAACTTCAAATTGAAGCATAGGAAACATAAATACGTACTTTATGAGTACACCTGTATTTTTTCGTGGAACGCAGAAGTGTGTGTGGAGGTGTAGAGGCAGACTACGGACTTAGTTCAGCGAGGGTCATTTAGGTAGCATGCTTGACCCCAGAGCATATTGCAGCAGTCATGTATGGTCAGCCCATGTGGGCCCACGGTAGATATAGCAGTATGTTAACAGGGTGGGCCCATGAGAATGCTAGTAGCATCCCGGTTGATGGGCCCGTATGTGTTGATCAGTGCAGTGATGGCATCAATCAGAAGCAACTCGATCGTCCTCTGTCTTTGCTTGATGGGCCCAGGCCTAAGTTGACCATTCTGAGTTGATGGGCCCATGGTCAAGTGAGTTCGTGGTACATTGCCTGGCCCATGTTCGGGCATCCATGGCACGATGATGGGCCCGCATCAGTAACTTAGCGGTGAAACCATCATGCCATGGTGGGCCCACATGAGCAGAATTGTTCTCGGTTGCTGGGCCCATGTAGCTCAAGACCTCCTCCCATGCTGGGCCCATCATAACATTGGGTGGTCTTCGTTGATGGGCCCAGGCCTATACATCCCAACCTGCATTGCTAGGCCCATCGGCCGTATCCATAGGCTATCGTCTTTCCCTCATGATATGATGCTGGGCCCACAGGGCTATGTTCCCTTTTGGTCGATGGGCCCACCGGACATAACATTGGGTGGTCTTCGTTGATGGGCCCAGGCCTATACATCTCAACCTGCATTGCTAGGCTCATCCGGCCGTATCCATAGGCGACCGTCTTTTCCTCATGATATGATGCTGGGCCCACAGGGCTATGTTTCCTTTTGGTCGATGGGCCCACCGGATCCAGTCCCTCCGGATGGCCGCGGGTATGCCTCCAGGTCATGGCCCATCCATATCACCTGCCGTCTGTTAGACACCTCTTACAACTGCATCGATTATAGCGTTTTCAGTAGATACAGCTTTTTGTTTCTACCGTCTAAAAGCCACCACCACCTCAGCAGTCAATCGCCACAGGTGGCCGCGGCCTCCCGAACTTCGAAGGCCGCGGATATTCTTTTCTCACTTCCACTATCTGCAGGTGTGTCTCTGCTACCTTGAATAGCCGCGGGTATGTCTTTGCTGCCTTCAATAGCCGCGGGAATGTCGTCGCCCCCTTCAATAGCCGCGGGCATGTCTCCGCAGCCTTCAATAGCCGCGGGCATGTCTCCGCAGCCATCAATAGCTTCGAGAATGTCACCGTCACCGTACCTCCAGGTCATGGCCCATACATATTACCTGCCGTCTGTTAATCGCCTCTTACAACTACATCAATTATAGCAATTTCAGTAGATACAGCTTTTTGTTTCTACCGTTTAAAAGCCACCACCACCTCAGCAGTCAATGGCCACAGGTGGCCGCGGCCTCCCGAACTTCGAAGGCCGCGGATATTCTTTTCTCACTTCCACTATCTGCAGGTGTGTCTCTGCTACGTTGAATAGCCGCGGGTATGTCTCTGCTGCCTTCAATAGCCGCGGGCATGTTTTGGCTGCCTTCAATAGCCGCGGGCATGTCTCCGCAGCCTTCAATAGTCACGAGAATGTCACCGCCGCCTTTAATAGCCGAGGGCATATCTTCGCTGCATTCAATAGCTGCGGGCATGTCTTATGTGCTATTGATCAGCCATTTTATTTAGGTTGTAAATTTTGTCAGCTCGCGAGAAATTTCCTACCGGATGTCATGCCGTGTCAATTGCTACCGAATTATTCCAAGATACATGCAGTCTTCCAGTCTCCAGAATGAGCGACTCCATTGGCGAGGACCCGTCTACTTGATTTCAAGGCAGGCACTTTGTATAATGGTCGGCCGTGTAGCATTACTGCATGTGGTACATTAATACAACATACTCCCGCGCCCATTCTGTACAAACTGTGGATGTCCATTCATTCCCTCTATGAATATTCTTGTATACCCGCAGGCATCTGTTTCCAAGAACGATTGTCCGTAACTCAAGATTGAAGCAGAGCTTGATGTATGCACATGCTGTGTACGTCTTCAACCAGCAGTTCACCACACATTTTGCTCTCGACATTCCCAGATTGTGAATGCAAAGGGGGCTCGTCGCAATTGGATCTCCATTTTACCGCGATAAGGTTATTGTTCTGACGATGATGTCATCGTTACCATTCCTGGAACCTATTTGTCCCGCCTGGTCCTTGTCACCTACCTTTCGCCTCACACATGATGAACCCTAGTCACAGAGACCGATCTCCATCTCCAGCTTACTACCATCGACCTCGGAATCTGGAATTCATCGCACGGAAGGATCGCGCAATAATTGGATTGGCTTCAGCTCGAAGGAAGCTTCAAATCAACACATTGAAGAGGATCAGGCTTCAGAAGGAGGAAGGTGAAGAGGTCAGCACAAAGAAGGATGCAGGGTTATGGGTGAGTGAGGTGCCTTTTCTAGACAACGCATTAGCTCAAGTTAGTAGTATCGCCTGGCGGCATCCGTTGGAGCCAGTGCCATTGGCGTTGCAAGACGCCAGCTACGCCGGGAAGGGCCGTGGCCCTATCAAAGACACATCCAGGCGGACATCCCTCTCCCATCCAACTCCAGGACAATCGCTGTCCCGCCGTCATATCTCCCCTACGTCCCCAGAGACATCGTGCGGCGCTTTCGATCTGAGTTCCACATGGATCGCAAAACCGTCGACTTCATTCACTACTATCCGGGACCTGCGGCAGAGCTTTCGGACTCCGAGGATATTCCTTTGGAGTCCGAAAATTCGAGCGAAGAAGATGAGAGGGAGTGTTTGAGCAGGGAGGAGTATGAGGAAGAGCAACTCGATTTCGACACTAATGCCCGCGGGCTTGCTCCTTTCGACAGCTGTCAGGAAGAGCGATCACTCCGTCATTTTTTCCCCATTTCCAGACCCACCGCCGTCCTCGACATTGCGTCTGTGCTGTATTGTGAGGTACGAGGCTCTAACGTACACCGTATGTCTCACAGACTGACGTGAAGGCTCTCCATCTAAGCCTAATTCGGGGGAACAGTCTCAGGCTGGGTCTGATGAAGCAGATGGAGAAGTGACTGCCGTAATAGATCACCTGTGCAAGTTGGCCGAAGGTCTCGATATCACCGCGGGCAACGGTATGGTACATTCAAGAGAGCAGCTGGAGTACTTCAAATACGGGATGCAGGGTCTGTCACACGTTTTCGGGAGGGACTCTTTCAATTCACAGGGAGAGGGGCCCAGTAATGTACAGGGGTAATCTAGTATACAACCTTTGTAGCCGGTCCAAAACAGTGTCTTACGTAAGAACGGTCTTCCTTGTGCAGAGGAGTCGCGCCTTGGTGATTGCACTTTCCCCATCCCACACACGAATAACTGCTTCAAATATGCCTCGCACCAAGAATGTGGCCAGACATCCCCTTGCTCGTGGAGGCAGTAGGCGGAGGCAATCCTCGGCAGCAAGGATGTCTGTTTCCGTTCGTCCAAGAGCGTTTGAACCGGAGAGGGATGACAGCCCCGAAGACGAAGAAGAACACCTGCAGAGAACGGAGGCAGAGAGGTTAGAGGTAAGACCACGTTTACCGACAAATATTTCATGTATACTCATTACTGTATAGCACTGGGTCAAGGTTTACTCATTCGCGACTGAGGAAGGGAGCTAGAATGACATCTTTGAGCAGGAACACCGGAAGCAGGTGATGGCAGCAAGCTACTCGGACAGCTCTGATACCCGAGGCACCCTGGCATGTCTTCAACATTGTGCAAGGCAAGAGCTCAAAGATGCTTTGCGCGACGCTGGCAGGGAGGGAGAAGGATTATCTCGATACAAGGAGGTAGAGTCATGCCTATGCATATTATGGTGTTTTTGTCTCATAGACAGGGCGTAGATTCAAGACGACGTTGTGGATTCCCCACCCCCATCCGAGCACCACTCCGACGTTGATGAAGACGAGGATTCCGATCATTGCTCAGAAGACTGGTCGGCGAAAGCCATGGACAACGAGGAGGCGGACTGGGAAAGCGAGGACGATTTGCCACTTGAGTGATGTCTTCTATCTCCTACATCTACCACCCGTAACTAAGGCTATGTCTAGACGACCATTCCCTGAGAGTCGCGGTCGTCTTTCCGACAAGGTCTTAGACTGCATAGTTTGGCGTATCGAACAGGGCCTTCAGACTATCGGGGAGCCTGGAACGCATAGATGGAACTTCTGGGAGGCCTGTTTGCATCACGAAATGGTGCGTATATCTTTTCGTGAAGAGCGCAACGGTGCTCGGGATCCGCCTATTGCCGTGAAGGTCATTTACCATTCTTTGGCACGATGCCCGCGGGTATCCAGTTCTGTCGAGGAATGGCCGCGGCCAACGGTTCCTCCCTTTTTCACTGGGTGGATTCTATCTTACTGTTCCTATCACAGGCATCTGCTTCTCTTGTCATAGGTTTGGGACTGTTGGCTGGGCAACGACCCTACATTCCTTATCGCCTGCACGCGCTGGACCACAATCTCATGTACTTGAGTGAGTCGTGGCTCCAGGGAGCTACTGCATACGAGGATTACAAGAAAGGGTTTGATGTCG